TTGAACTAACTTAATCTTTTGTTTGATTATTATTTTTAAACAAGTCATCGAGGAAACGATACTTTACTTTCATTATATTACTTGCTACGACCCGTACAATTGTGATGAGCAACAATACATCTCATGATCCACTGGCCCATCTAGAATCAAATCTCAATCTTAGCAAAACTGCTTCAAGATAATCCCATTTAAGTTTATCATAAGCTTTATTCAGGTCAACTTTTAGAGCCAAATCAAATCTCATGGTTTATGCTGCAAATATTGGAAGATTTCATGGGCCAATTGAACATTATCCTAATTAGCTTATTTGGGACAAATGCACGTTGTGAAACAGTCACAATCTTCTCTAAAATACTCTTCAGTCTGTTTGCAAGCACTTTAGAAATTACTTTGTAGGCAAGGTTGCACAAACTTATTAGCCTGAATTGATCAACATTCTCTAGGCAATCTACTTTAAGAATCAACACTATATTAGTGTCATTGATTCTATAAATATCATCCCCTTGCTCTAAAAAAGTTTTTAACCATGCTAAAAAATATAATCCCCAACAATAGGCCATGCCTTTTGATAGAAAAGTCCTGAATAACCATAAGGACCAAGAGCTTTCATACTGCCTAAACCAAAAATAGCATCTCACTTCCTCTATTGTGACAGATCAGCACAATAAAATATTATCAAAATTTGACACTTTCACTAGAATGTAGTCAAGTATAGCAGTAGCCATGTTGGATCTAGATGCTCTAAAAAAAATTCCATAAAAATGTGAAAACCCAAAGGCAATTTGATCTTGCTCTTCTACCCAAATTCCATCCTCATTTTTAATCTTCAGAATCTTATTATAATTTCTGCAAAGGATAGTAATTGTATGAAAGAAACGAGTATTTCTATCACCATAAAGAAGCCATTGGACACATGAATGCCGCCACCAATATTGCTCTTCACGCAAATGGACATCTCTAAGCTCCACTTCCAATTCTTTTTTTCCTTTTAGCCTTTTCAGCAGAGAACTCATACTATAGATAATGTTTAATCTGAGCTTTAGTATTTCTTATCAGTTTTTTATTATTGGGAAAGGCTACTTTACTCCACTTGATTAAATCTTCCCTACACCAGTTCAATCTTCTGGCAACATTTTCAACACCACACGCATCCATATGATGAGAATAAACCCAATTGTTTATAGATATTCAAGGGTACAATGTGGATTGATCGCTGACTTTCTCTTTCAACCGATTGAAATATTCAGGGGTCAAGCTTGCAACTGTTTAGTGTTTAGTTAATTAATTAATTGATATATTAATAATAAAATTAAAATATCATATTATACAAAAACGACTTTTTATAGATATTAATTAATTAATTAACGAAAATACTACGCGTCGACCATGTTGAAAGAGTTTTATTGTGATACTTAACATAAAAAGATTGAATATAATTTAATTGAATTTTCATTAAAGTTATATAATTAATAAATTAATTTGTATTTTGTTAATGTGATTTGATCGATCTTTGTATAGTCCATCATCCGTCGTATTATTTTCCCTCGTTCTTCTTTGTTATTTCCTTGTTTATCTTTGAATTGAACTTTCAATCAAGTTGCCGCAAGAAGTTAATACTTGTATAGGCCATCATCGTGTGATTTTCCCTCGTTTTTCCATGCTTTTTCCTGTTCATGTTTTAATTTAATTTTCAATTAGAAACTAAGAATTCAATATTTGTACAAGACATCATCATATGATTTTCCGTTGTTTTTCTTTTGTTTGTTTGTTTTTTTTTTTTTGGTTTGACTATCCTGTCATTGACGTTATAAGCGGTGAAAATGGAAGAAGGTTTGACTTCAAACTTTGAAGTCAATAATATAGTGTGTGAATATAAATTCCACAAGCGTGGTCAATAGCTACAACTAGTTTTTTTTTTTTTCTTTTCTTTTGGGGCAACTGCAGCACAACCCGTTTGAAGTCAAAAATGTTTATATTGACTTCACAATAAACTAATTAAATTTCTTTTCTTTTTTTGGGTAGTGTTCACATTAAGTGTATGTTCAAGATCGATATCGTTATTTGACTCGAATCATTTCAATATTGACCGATTTGCATGCCCTGTACCTCCAAATCCAATAGATCATAATGCAAAGCATACGATGTTGTTTTGTGTGGTTTTCAAGCACAAATTGATTGATTCAAAACTTCGACTCGCAAAACTGATCAACTATATTAGATCAACCTTAATCCCCCTCCTTGTGCAATAATGGAAATGCAATTTTTTTCAAGGCAGAAAAGTGACAAATCTTGAAAATCAAATCAATTCCCACGGAACAGTCGAAACCACGTAAACTCTCTTGGATCAGGTTGTGGTGTGAGATAAGAGTCAACTTTGTTTCCTTTTATAAACTTGTGGTTGCGAATCTTTTGTAAGTACAAGACCAACAATATTAATAGATTTGGCTCAAGCCGTAAGTCTAATTTTTCTTAACGTGGCCATCAAAATTCAAATTCCTATCAAAAGAAGAACTCATACTTAATCATGTTTCGAACAAAAAGACCTAATACATAATCATGTCTCAAACAAAATGACCTCTAATAAAATGATAGCTATGAATTAAAAAAAACAACAACAATGAAATGATGTTATGGATAAATGTAATAATTTCTTCTTATTCAAATATGATGTCAATGTTAATGGAATCCTCACTGGGCAGCTTAATCCAACCTGGAAAAAACAATGGTCTCTGTCCTCAACAAAAAAAGAAGAAGAGGGATTTCATGTAACATGAAGGGAAGAAATAAGATTCCACCCCCCTTCCCAATTATTCTTGTAACTTTGCTTGAATCTCTACTTCTTCATGGCTTAATATTTTGCAAATTTCAAACAAAACATAATATCAACTTAATAAAGAAAAAAAAAGAACATCAAATACAGCCACATAATGAACATCATTTTTTTTTGGTATTCAATAAACATCATATTTATTAATATTTAGATGGGATCTAAAATCTTACGGAATTTTCCATTGAATAATATAATATTACCACCCAAGCGCAAATAGGCAAATTAAATAGTCAAAATATATTTCCATTTACCACCTCAATCTTCGTCCCTGGAAAAAATCTCTCTAAGTAAAATATATACCTCCTCCGTTTAAAAATATAAAGCATTTTTTTAAAAAGTTTAATATTAAAAAATGTAAGATATTTTTAGTCTTTCGAGGTGTAATTATTATTATTTTTTTCAAAAGTTTCCTTATTGATAATGACTTTATATTTATTTTAGAGTATTTAATAGAAGTAAATATGAAAAGATTGGGTTAGTTAGAAAGTATGTAATTACTTCATTAGGAGTTGAGATAAGATTAAAAATATTTTATATTTTTAAACGAAGGGAGTATATATATATATATATTAAAAAATATAATTTGTAGTTTCGGATTTCTTTAAGTAAACGAGTCCTATGCCCAAAAAGAGTTTCTGAATTTTTTTAATTACTGATTTAATCCCTATGTTAACTATATTCAAATTAGGGAATTAGATGGAATGAATTTTTCTGAATGAATAAATTATAAAGACTTACTTTATCCTGTCGCTAATGTAAGATAATCTGAACTATTTATTTATTAAGAAATGGTAATTATATCTATACAATTGTTAATAAAGATACAATTTTTTAATTTTGTTCTATTTTACAAATAATAATCATGATAAATTGGTGTATAGAAATTCAAATAATAATAATAATAAATAAGAAGTAAAATTAAAAAAATATTAGTTATTCTAATGGTCTTATATTAAGGTTTTTTATATTTTTCTTATATTAAAATTGAAGCGAGTATTTTAAGTCAAAATCAAATCATCAATTATCAAAAGAAAAGTTCAACCAAAAAGTTATATTTTCTGATTTTCTATACATGCAGGGTGGCCAGGGGGGTGGCGGGAATTAACGGGGGAGGCTCTGGCCTTTTTTTTGTGTGTTTTTTCCCCAACACCACGTGTCTTCAGCAATTCCGTGCACTAAATAGGGCACCTTTTCCTTTTTTAATTAAAAGGATGATTCATTCATAGAACTCATATAACAAAATTCAAAGTATCTCAGACCAATTCTCTCCCCTTCCTCCTCTTTTGGATAAAAAAGAAAGATGGTTAAAGAAATGTTCTTCTAATATTAAATTTTGAGCAAACTTAATAAAAATATTAGTCTATTTAATAAATATTTTAGACCTAAACTCAATATTAACAATTCAATCTCTACCTATACTCATTTTAGCTTCTTGAATAATGTTTCAATAGAGATGATTCAATTGAGAATCTCTTAAAATCAAACTTAAAGCATTAACATAGTCAAAAATAACATTAATTTTCATGATTTTGATATTTCAACTATAGTGAAGCCTAATAGTAATAGCTTTAATCTTAATAATGGTTGGTGGTAGTTCTATCTTTGAACAAAAACCTAAGATCCATTTTTCACTTTGCTATTTGATAATTCCTTTGATTACACTTCATCTACCATTTAAACATAAGGTATTAGTTTTTAAAGTGAAAGATTCAGCATCTTGTTAATGTTAATGGTTGTATAGATTTATAACTCTTCCTTTTAACAATATGCTTGGCTTCATCTTAAAATCCTACAGTGCTCTAAAATAGACTTTATATGTATTTTTTTATCCAGCAAACCCTTCCTCTCCAAATATTCTTTTACATGTATTAACTCAAATATCTCAACATACATAACAGAAAAAAGTATCCTAAGGAATGTATTTAGTATCATGGCTACCTAGTTTTCTGCCAAGATTCCATGTAACTCATTCCACGCCTTCTAATTGATTAAATCTCTCCCAAAACCCAGGCGAAACAAACTCAAGCCATTTTTTCCTTACGTGATGACAGTCATGAAGTAAATTCATTAAAGTCTCATTTTTTTCATCCTTATTATTCATTAATTTTATAATTAAATTTTTTTTAATAAAATAATATGAACTGTGAGGATCGAAGGAGTGGAGGAAAATGAAGGGAAAAATGAGAGAGACCCCTCCTCCCTCCTCTGATGGGATTCGAACTTGTTCCCCAATTGACAGCAACTCTTGGTTACGATGACGTTGAAACTAGCCGTATCGCCATCAATGCGACCGCAATTAATCAACGAATAACGATAAATTGATAATGAATGACCCAATCGGGAATTAGGTATCGGCGGGCCGGTTAAACACCTACCAGACCCAGAACACGGAGTACGTGGTCGAACGACTGCCATGATCATTCATTTGCACCTCAAGCTGACTAGCACGAGTGCCGCTACTCTCTGCTATTTTTTTCACTTCCGCGGCAAAGAATCGCGTTTCCGAGAAAGCTGGACCCATAAAGAAGAACCGGAGAAGCCATGAACAGTGCTCTAACCAAGGTCGCCGTAGTTGGGAGTGGAAGTAAGTGATATAGTTGTTTTTTTTTTTTGGGGCGTGGTCCTTGGTGCTTGTAAGCTTTGTACTTTAGATATGGACACTTTAAGAGAAATTACCGGAATGTGGGCAGTTTCAGGAGCTGTTTGCGCTTCAACTCTTGCCCGAAATGGAGTTCCAGTCACTCTCTTTGAGTCAGCAAGAGGCCCTGGAGGGCGCATGTCGCAACGGAGGTTCCTTCTCTTTTTACAGTTTTATTTTTGTTCTATCATATTGTATTAACATGTCAGAGTCACTTTCGAATCTAGACACATCACCGTCGAAGCTTTTACAGATTTGGCACTTGCTTTCTTCAATGATGATGATGATGATCCCGAAAAACTTAGGAGAAGGAACACTTGCTGTTCAACCTGTTTTTTTAATAATAATTGCATGCAGTTAACTTTTGCCTAAACCTCAGTTTCAATGGTTTAATTTGTATGATTTGAAGTGTTTGCTGATCACGACAAAGACATGCTGCGCGCATGGAATTATCACATATAACTGTGTTATTTGAAAAATGTCCTAAATTTGATAGGCTTCTTAATTTCAGAGAGAACACTGAAGATGGGAAGGAGCTACTCTTTGACCATGGTGCTCCATTTTTCTCAGTCAGCACGTCAGAGGCGTTATCTCTAGTTCACGAGTGGGAATCAAGGGGCCTCGTATCTGAATGGAAAGAGAAGTTTAGCTCATTTGATTTTTGTACTGGGAAATTTACTGACACAGAACAGGTTGACAAGTTTTCTTCAAACGTATGATATGATTATGTGCAGTATTGAGCAGTGATATTTGATTAGATCATTAATCAGGCGGTGTTTTACTTGTTTCAATGGTCACCATCCTCCACATGGTGGCCAATCTCCATTATTGTGCCTATGTTTATGGCGCATTTAACATTTGCATCTTACATAAAACCTTTTTACAGTTATTCATACTACTTCATATCCTTCAGTCTTTATACTGCACATGTTTCAACTTATGCTGCCTTCTTTGAGCTTTGAATCTCTGATAGGAAATCTCTTAATATGTCCAGCTCCTACCTGATTCAAAGCACTTGGAGATCTCTAAATTGATGTTTCACCAACTATATTATTTTCAAAAACATTCTATATGTATAATCTAGGGAGAATTGCATCCAAAAACCTCCCAAAAGAATTATTCACAAACAAGGACTAACAACAAGTCATTATTTGAGAAAAAAAACAAGTTGTTATTATCATTTTAACAACAAACAATTCCATATTAATATTTGTTTGTGAATAATTCTCTTGGGAGGTCCTTGGATGTAATTCTCCCTATAATCTATATGTGTAGTCAGTTCACTATTTCTATTGCAAGATATGTATTAGAATCTAGATTATGTCTATACAAGTGTTTGCTACTTACATTTGCTCATGACAAGTGAAGAAATTTGGGAATGGATATAGTATGGAAAACATTGGAGAGTATAATTTTGGTGCAAGGTTCCTCCCCTTGTTATTAATGTTTGAAGTCCGAGCAATTTTCTTTTATTAAGAAAAAATTAAAACTTTGCTGGCTCGGCTATGAATTGAAAACGCAAGGTAGGGTAATTGCACAAATTGAAACGCACAGATAATGACAACAGTGTTTTATCACCTTTCAATTATGAGGTGCATGATTCTCATTTTTTGACTTTCATTTTCAACATCAATTATGTACTTGTTCAAAATTTGTATGAGATATGTATGAAGGATGTCCTGTTTCACAATGCCTATTGCATATTGGATCTTTTTTATAAGCACAGTTCTTTCTCTGACTTCAACATGTTAAAGGAAGGATCATGCATGAGATATGTGGGTGCGCCAGGCATGAATTCAATATGCAAAGCATTGTGCAATGAGAATGGTAACCACTTAATTCCGTTGTTTATTCCTTTGTTACAGAGTTGATGGCGGACTGACTAAAATGTGAAGGTTTTACCCCCTTTGTCTTCAGGTGTGGAAAGCAAGTTTGGAGTGAGCATTGGAAAAATTGAGTGGTCAGATGATGATCATTTGTGGTCATTGATGGGCTTAGAAGGACAAATTCTTGGCCAGTTCAAGGGGATTGTTGCTTCAGATAAAAATATAGTTTCTCCCAGATTCACAGAAGTGTCGGGGCGATTGCCACCTCTTGGTATGGATATGATGACTTTCTTGTTACATGACAATTTGATATGAAGGTTCATTTAAAAACTTGTAGAGAAACTCTAGGAATCATGAATATGAATATTCCTTTTCTGTTCGCTGTTGTTTCTACTTCAAATTGTTAAACCTGGCCAACTCTCTGGGTACTTATACTGGGTATCTATTGTGTCTCATGTATGTTTTTCAATTTTGAATGTCGAGTAATGGGAGTTGAGAAAATTTGCTTTTGAAAGGCCTATAAACGTGTGAATTTTCAAAGGAAATAACTGCTGCAATAAAATGCCTGTTAATTTGCAGTATGAAGTCTAATTAGGAATTGAGGAGGAGAGGGATTGCAGTATTATACCTTATTGCTGTTAATTATCGTTTGTTTTATAAAATAAGCGATGACCTAAAGAATCCTTTACATTAAAAAATAATGATATTCGATAAATCTGGCAGCTTGTCATTTAGTAGATGAACCAACATTAAATTGATAAACTAGAAAGAGATGGATTATGTGTTGACTATTTATATTCAAATTGTTCTAAGGGTTTGTATCCCAAAATAATAATAATAATAATAATTTTGTTCTAAGGGGCATTGATGTAATCAATTTGGTCATATGTGCCTGTGTTGTGACAAGGTGAAAACTTAGTGTCTGAACTCTATGCTTTATGTCCAGTGATGCTTAACGTAGCATTTCTATGGTGAATAGTGGCAGATTGACATTTGCGATGAATGCAGATTTGAATTTGGTGCCAGAGTTATCAACAGAGGTGTGTGATCTTCCTGTCAGGCCATGTTTTGCTGTGATGCTGGCATTTGCAGAGCCTCTGGCCTCAGTATGATAGTAGCTATACTACTATACACCTCTTAAGTTGTCATTAATAGTGATACGAAAACTAAGTCTGTATGGCTTGTTTGATTCTGATTCATTGCATGCTTGGTTTTGGCTAGACTGTTTTCAATTTCCTTTTGTATATGTAGCTCGCAATCCAAACTGAAAAATGAACTTTGCAGAGAAGCCGGGAGGTGCATGTCTAACTGTTGTGGTTAATGACACTAATTTTCAGATACCCTTCAAAGGCTTTTCCGTGAAGAATTCTAACATTTTAAGGTGGGCTCATTGTGAGAGCAGTAAGCCTGGCCGCTCAACCCATAGGTAGTTGTTGAATCTTCTATTAGTGGCAAATAATTGGTATGATACTCTTTGTTCAAGATCACTTTCCTTTGATTGATAAATTATTGATCGACAGTAGCATGTTTACAGTGAAAGATGGGTTCTTCATTCAACAGCAGAATATGCAGAGCAAATAATTGCTCAAACGGGACTCAAGAAGCCCTCGGACACAACACTGAAAAAAGTGGCTGATGAGCTTTTCCAAGAATTTCAAAGCACGGGACTCAACAAATCTCAACCTTTTTTTAAGAAAGCCCATAGATGGTGAGTATGTAAATAGGACTTTGTTCTGAGTAGGCTACCAATTCTTGCATCATAAACATATATGGCACATGTACGTGGTAGTCTTGGATTAGAGTGTCTTGAGAAAAGAATCGTGAAAAAGGGTATATTTGGATTGAGGAGCATGGAGGGAAATTTTGATTTCAATATTTTCCTCACTTTAAATCTAACTCAAACCTTTCTTTCTCCTTCATTCTCCTCAATTCAAACATGCGATAAAGTTGATATTGATACAAGTTCAAATCAAGATAACATTTTCTTACAAAATTCAGACAGCATATCCCTGCAGGAATTTGTGCAGTTCTTTAGTGTTTGTGATTGAGTTGTTCAATAGAATTATAACATAGAAAGAACTTGGTTGAAGGAGTCAGTGGTAATTGAATGGTAAAATAGTATTCACATCTTATGTTCTTTACCTTAGTCTATCCTGCATATAAGACCATGATGAAAAGAGACCTAATGAAACGGTTCTGTTGCTTTAATTTTCTGCCTCCTTCGTTTTACCAGCCCTTCCTTTACTTGATAGTAAATTCCTATGAAATTAACACTAGTAGGTGATTCTATGTTAACAAAGGAACTCTCGTGCTATGTTGGTTGGTATTTCAGGGGGAGTGCATTTCCAGCTGCGAGTATTGCCCCGGAGGGAAAATGTCTTTGGGACAGAAATAAGAGATTGGCTATATGTGGAGACTTCTGTGTTAGTCCCAACGTTGAGGGTGCTATCGCTAGCGGCTTGGCAGCTGCTTCCAAGCTTTCAGAGAGTTTGAGTTGTTTATAGTTGGACAAGTGTCTGTTTATCACGTGATTTGAGGTTTTATACTTCAGTCCTTGCTCAAACTTCCGAGTGTCTTCATTCGAGCATCTTAGCCGCGAAGATTCGTGTTTTAAATTTCTCAAACTTCTAGTGTTACTAAATTTTGTAATTTCTTGAAGGTATATGAAGGGTGCTTTAATTTACCTTTTATATATGCTTTAGTTTACTTTTCATAGTTAGTGAGAATTACTCAGGTTTCTCAAGCACAATTAAAGACCATAAGGTCTATACTCTATTTACAGCTTAGGATAGCAACAACTATTTACTAAATTGTCAATAAATCTTTGTAGTATTTAATTGTGTTGTGAAGAACTTTCAGATAATTCTCCCCCTTTTTTGTCGAGGGACAAGAGCCATCAGTAGTGTTGCTCAAACCCAACAAATAAAAATCAAGAATGTACGCAAATGTAACTGGAAACGATAGCAGCAATCAAGGAAATAAAATGGAATGATCTATTACTCTTTGATATGTCATGAGTTAGTAGTACAATATCTGCACTGCTTTCTCTCTGCTTGTTCATTTCTCCCCGTGTTGCTTGTGCTTCCCTTACGATCAAAGAGAGAGTACAATTCAAATCACCTGAGCTGCATGAACATTTCCCAATTGAACCTGGTTCAACCAAATGGTGTTCAAATCGTCAAAACCACATCGACTTCCATTTGTCATGGAAGAAGAAATTTTCATCAGTTTACAATCCATCACCCAGTTAATCAGAAATGCCAGAAGAATTTGTTCTTCATGGAGTTTCCTCAAATATAATTTCATCCTCATGGGATGGTGGTTTGTTCCTGGCATATGCAAAGCCTGCTTGGCCAGTTCCATCTATCAATGAAGACCGAACAACCTACAATTGATTTCATTATACAAGTAATTATAATATAAAACTACACATGTGATCTCACTATCTTGCTTCACTCTAAAACCATTGAGTAAATAATATGGAAGCCAAAAAAAAAAAAATCTGCAAAGTAATTGGGTACAATGGCCATGCATGATATTTGATAGCGAATCATTAGAAAGGAACTGCAATGAGAATAAGAAAAGCTTCATGATTGGTGAAAAGCTTTGGCTAAACTAAATCAATAGACTAGGTAGGACCAGAAGCAAGCATAAGGAAGGGGAGAAGATATAGAGGAAATGAAGGACAGAAGAATCTAGTTGTATAAAAATATTATGATCTTAAAATAATTAAATTTATAAAATCTTAAAATATTATAATAGAAATAAAAATACATTAAATAACTAAGTTCTGACCCTAATGTATTTTTAACTAAAATAATTCTAATCTTACTGAAAATATTATTTTCTATATTTATCTTAATAGCATAATAACCAAACGTATAAGGAAGATTAAGTAAAAGAAAGAGACCATAGCTGCCCAAACTATAACACGAAAGTTAATGGGTGAGATCATTCATCATTGCATCTTGACAGGTTATCATTTAGGTGTAAAGACCAAACAAGTGGAGCAAGCGACAATCATTTGATTAAGTAAAGAGTGAAAAGAGTGTAAAACATCTGGTCTTATTCACTATTCAATCAGAAGTATCAAGAGTAACCAACCTTTTCAAGTTCTTCTAAAAGATGAGGGTTCTCCTTCAAGTACTGCATTGCTTTGTCCCTTCCCTGTCCCAACCTGTTTCAACATTCAGGAGAAATAGCATTGAGCCATGGGGATTCCATATCTGATGACTTTTTCATGATCCCTAAATTGCAGTGAAGCGATCAAACAATACATAGCGTATGTCACTTCCTACGGGAAAGAAAGGAACAACATACAAGAGAGCGTGCCAAATTGTAACGAATGAACATTAATTGGGAAGAAACTGATCGCAAATATACCGATGATCTCCATAGCTGTACCAAGAGCCCTTCTTTGAGACAACATCCAAGATTTCTGCACAATCTAAAATGCATCCCTGCATTGAGGTATAAAGTCAAACCAGTGAATGGTACACATACTGTGAGATGAAAAGAACGTGGCAATACTTACCAGTTTGCCGACACCCTCTCCAAAAATAATCTCAAATTCGGCTTGTTTGTAAGGCCTTGATACCTAACAAAATATGCTAAGTCAGGGATCTTCAGAGAGCAGTATCAGAGTCGGAGAGAAATACAAAATATTTCAGATTGGAACGTCTTTGAGCAAAACTTGGCAATGATATATAGAAAAGGCTCAAAAGAACAGTGAAAGGAAAGCTTTTAATGCAAGGCTCATGAGGCGATCACCAAAGTGTAGCTCTAGTAAGAAACAAGCAAAATAAGATCCGGACGTTTTCAGAAGACTAAAGAAAATCCTGGAGACGTTTAATGGAAACAGGAAACCAAAGTTCAGCTGAAAGAGCAATATATTGTTTATTTCACCAAGCCCGCTCCATTTGATGGCAAAAGGGAGGGGGCTTGTTCCAGTCAAATAGAAAATTTATCCTGGAAACAATTCAAAACAAATCCCAGAGAAAGAGAGAGAGATTTATAATTACAAGAACACTTTTTTATCCACAATCTTCACGTGTCAAAAATTTGCTCATCAACTGAAAAGATCATTCCCACTTTCCCTACCTTATTTGTATGAGATCACCAAAGATATTACAAAGAAGTAAATACAATCAGCAGGATGTGAACTGTGTTCTCCCACAACAGCATATTTGCTGGGTAGTAAAGGTTTGGCAACATATGACCTTGTCTTTCATCACTGTTCTGGTCCATTCAGTAACATGTATTGTGTAGGTATTAAATCCAAACATTCAAACTTCAAGCTGAATTCCTAACATTAAATTTCACGTAAAAGAAGCTATGTTCTCCAAACCAAAAACCACAAGATTGGCAACAACTATGGAGAATATTGCAAGAAGCAACATTCTTTGAAATCTCACAGGAAGTTCTCGACAGACTATTATGCTATTTGTTCAATGCCTCGCTATGCTGCTCCTTTTTCAAATATAGGTCCGTACACTTAAACTAGTGTAAACTCAGCAACAACACTTACAAAGTAACACACGGTTGAAAGGAAAGTTTCAAAGCCATTTCAAAAGCTAAATGTCAAGTTCCAAGTGTGTATGTCAAGAGCCATCACTGAAAACCAGTTAAAGGACAAACATTGATAGGCATACACTCATATATTCTAACATACCTTACTCTTTTGCACTCTCACACGAACCCTAAGGCCAATTTCTTCATCACCCTTAGCCTAAAACGAAAGGAAATGAAATGCACATATATAGATCAATTAAGATATTATAATCAAAAGAAAGATAAATTATGGCACAAGTTTTGTTCTTACGGATTTTATCTTCCCTGTGGGACGTATTTCAAGCCGAACTGAGGCAAAAAACTTCAAAGCAATTCCACCACTTGTCACTTCTGGATTTCCATAGTAGACACCAATCTACAGAAGTAAATGAAGTTGATCCATATTATCAAAAGATTTTTCCAAGAAAGCTTGACTATACAATCCAATGGGCTGAGATGAACCATGAATGTGCAATATTTTTTTTTATCTATCTGCATGTAGACATCCAGAAACAAAGTAAATCTAATTGCCAAGAAGTACCTTGTATCTTATTTGGTTTAAAAATATAAGAGTGCAACCAGCTTTAGAGGCATTTCCAGACATCTTTCTCAAAGCTTGGCTCATGAGACGAGCTTGCAATCCCATTTGTTGCATTCCAATCTCACCCTATATATTTCAAGTGAAGAAGACAACAAATGTTACAAATGCTATCCAATCCCTGGCTTTAATAGTAGTAACAGTAGTGGCAAAAACAGTAGTAATAATAATAATAATCCAAAAGGAAAGTGATTGTATACTTCAATTTCTGCTCGTGGAGTGAGAGCTGACACAGAATCCACACAAATGAGATCTATGGCACCAGATCTACACATGCGATCTGCGACTACAATGGTGAAAGCACAATCAACCCATATACATCATGCAACAATAAGCTTCCTACTATTGCAACAAGGCCTATAACAAAATTAATAATTTCAACACAACCACATGAAGGGCAAAGACAGTATTACTCTCAAGAGCCATCTCTCCATGATCAGGCTGGCAGACAATCAAATTTTCTACATCCACTCCTAAAGCTTTAGAATATGCTGGATCAAAAGCATGCTCAGCATCCACAAGCATTGCATTGCCTCCTAACTTCTGCACAACACGATTAGAATAATGAATATTAGTCCCAAATCCATTTGACACCAAGTAAACCTACAACCCAAGGAATTAATGATTGCACATAATACAGATAGATGAATTACTTGTACTTCTGCAATGGCATGAAGTGCTAAGGTGGTCTTCCCACTGCTTTCTGGTCCATATATCTGGAAAGAGAGAGGGCAGATAATCTGAGCTTGTCATGAAAGTCCAAATTTGTTAAATAGAAAAGGAAGAATTAGAGCATCTACATGCCTATACAAGCTTGTTCTGATAGTTCCTATCATAGATCTCACAAAGTACCGCACATTTCAATATAGTTTAAGCACCCTATATGATTGCCCACAGAATGTACGTAAGAGCACAAGACAAAATATATTGAGAAAAAAATAATAGAATAAATACCTCCACAATTCTTCCCTTTGGAAGACCACCACCTAAAGCACAGTCTAACGTCAAACAGCCACTTGGAAAAGTTTCACTGCAATGTACATTATGTTTAAGAATTTGTCATGTGTCATCTGATCAACAACACAGAAGAAAATAGAAAGAATAATCTGAAAATTTGACAAAATTCTAGACAGTTGGGTGAAGTCAGAAGTATAGACAGAGAATGCAGGGAAGATACATACACCAAAGCTCCTCCCGCACTGCCTAATCTTGTAACACTTCCCTTTCCAAATGAGTTATTTATATCATTCATTGCTGCTTCCAATGCTTTTTGCTAAAAGACAAATTTCATTGTCAAAATTAACATACCTTCGTATAGGCTTAACCACTCAAGAATGCAACAAAACTTTCAAATCTCTGCATATTGGAAATGGAAACTCCTAAAAACATCATATGTTTACCAACAACTCCAAACTCCAAAAGAAAAGAGAAATCCCAAGGGAAAGTCAATACCTGGTTATATTAAAGCTATTTTACAACTAATTCTGCACATAACACCACATATTGGAAGGGGGGAATACTATGCGGGACTAATGCATTTGTAATAACCCCCCATTGACACGATTGTTATTATACAAGCCTAGAAAATTCAACCATTCCCTCCATGGTAGAACAAAGTAAGCAGCAGCGCATCACCCATTCGAAATGTTCTGCAAACTTCTTGTGTTTATTCAGATTAAATACTCTCATAAATCCCCGTTGTATATCCAACATAACAGCAGCGCAGCACATATCAAGGACAAATTTTAGATACAGGCATTTGCTATCAATTATTTAACTAAAAAAATCACATGTGGACATTTTTCCGTTGGCTCCTTCTAAAAAGCTTGTCCCCATGTTATAATTCATTGAAAAATTTCGATGGACAAACACCCAAAAAAAAAAAAGTTAAAAAGGCTTTTTAACATATCAAACTGAGAGTTTGTGACTCAGAACAACTACTGGAAGTTCAGTTCTGTGGAATACGATAACTACATACAAAACATAAGCTCGACCTCTCGTTTAGGGTATCTAGGAACGAAAAGCCATGAGTTGTTTAAACATTGCCGCCTTTAAAAATTACAAAGAGAAGTGAAACAACCCTTCACCTAAACGCAATGTTACAAGTGATAAAATGCACCTCCATAAATCATTTTTCGACAAACCGAGAAAGGCAAGCTGATTAAGCAGTATATATATATACATATACCCGGTCAATGAAGCGAGGGTCAAAGTCGCCAGAAAGAGCGCCATTCACTTTCCCTTCAAACTCGCACCGAATCTTAACCTGCTTAGAGGAAGACTGAAGAAGGAAGCGAGTACGACGAGACTGGAACTTGGGAGGGAAAGGAAGGAAGAGGGATGAGGGTGGCTTGACATTGACACTGTGGGGTTTCAGAGAGAACAGCGAATCCATTACCATTGAATGGCCTATGATATGAAAAGATGAAAATACAATACTGTTGTTTGTATATTTGTATGTTGCAGCTCAAGCAGCTGAAGCAGAACGAGAAGAAGATGCAGTGAAACCCAAAGAGGAAGAAATGAGCGCGAGTGACTTGACACTGACGAGTGACGAATACAACTTTTCCTTTCACCCCCTACCTACACAAAAATCTTGCAGTTACCATTTTTCCTTATCAAAATTGAATGAGCAATTAAAAAAATAATTGGGCGTTGTTAAAAAAACCACTGCAATAAGTAATGAATTAAAAAAATCACTTACTATAGTTTGATTATTACTATCTTAATTCTTAAATGTATATACTTAAATTAAATATCTGAGATTTTTCTCCTCTAGTTTGAAACACTTCGAAAACATATGAGAAGGTAATACATTTTTTTCATAACAAGATTTCATTTCAATTACCTCTTTAAAAGTTAAAATGGGTTAGCTATGAATCAATTCAATAAATTTTTTAACAAAAATTTAAGTAAGTTGAGTTTGAAAAAGTCAAGATTAACAGACCTCAAGTAAAGTATTCATGTCAATACTTAACAATTCACTAACAAGATTTTTACCAATGTTATGAAAATCGGACTGGTCATTAAACCGGTTAAGGTATTGGTTCACGGTTCAATGGTCGGACCGCGGTTTGAACCGTGGTCCAACCGGTCATAAATAAATTAATATATTTTAAATATTATATATTTAAAATAGAAAGAAATAATCATATATAGTAACAAAAATGAATGTTTAAATTTTAAATAAAATAATATACAATAAAAAATATAACATCCATCAATATTACATTATTTTCATCCAAAACATATACAAGTGTTTCATAATTCATAATTTATAACTTTAAAATATATACACATATACATAATTTATACATATTTCATACATTTTGTTTATTTCATAATGCTTATTAGGTATAAATATGTATAAATTATAATTTTAAAATATAAATTAAAAATTTAAAAATAATATAACCGGTTCAACCGGCTCTTGCCCGATTTTATCAGTTCGTGGCCGGTTCTTGAAATTTTCAGTTTTTTGTGATGACCGGACCGGACTTGGGATCGATTCTCAATTGAACTGGTTGGACAGGTCAGTCCGGTCCGATTCTGATAACACCAATTTTTACATCTACATACGTAGGAATAAATATTGGATTTGAACAGCCCAAGTTTCCCCACCTTTTTTTGGTAACAAACTAACTATGCCTAGCTCAGATTTGATCTTCCACATCAAGTGCTCTCTCCCATGAGATGGACTTTGTTTTTTTTAAAACCTGTAAAAGATGGACTTCATCTCTAGCCCAAATAAAAGAGGTGGGCCACTTTTACTGTTGGTTTTCTCTATCACTATGACAAATTATTGGCCCAACAGATCAAATAAAAAGTAAAAAGCAGCGCCAACTTTTTAAGCTTAGCCGGTTTTTGCTACCGGATCGTATTTTGGGGAAAAGAAAGTGTAATGGAATGAGAAAAAAAATGGAATTGAGTTTTAAATATTTTGGTATACTAGGGATAAAATCCATTATGATTTCTATTTGATACGTGCATTAATAATATTAAAATATCTTAAAAAAATAATATTAAAATATCAAAATATGCTAATCTAGTTTGGTTTGAGCAGCAGAAATTATTATCATCAACAAGTTGTTAGAGACTTAAGAATTGTTTGTTTTCTGTTTTCAAAAACTGTTTTTTTAATAGAAAAATTTAAAAACTTGTTTAGCTAAGTGTCTTAGATTTAATTATTTTCAAAGTTTTTATTTTTTCAAAAAGACCAAAAAATAGAAATAATTTTAAGTCATTTTCATTTTATTCTTTTATTTTTAAAATACATTACATCTGATTGTTAAAAATTATAGTTAATTTAATCAATTTTTATTATAAATCACCATCATCAACTTTTTATAATTATTACTATCAATCTATTTTCTAATTTTAAAACTGTTTTTAAATTAACATAAGCAAACAGATGTTTATTTTATTTTGTTTTGAAAAACAACTTTTAAAAATTGTACTACAAAACAATTTTAAAAACAAAAAATAAAAATAGACATCAAATAGATCCTTAACTTCCAGCTGATATGCTTTTTAGTACCCTTCCCTATTTTGAAAGAGATTAGTATTGTTTTTGTCTAGTTGAAAATTAGAAAAGAGAGTATTGAAAGCTCTCGTGTCAATGTTAAAGAGCTTTTTTGAGATGTTGTCTGGTTCACTCACAATTCGTGACTCATTAGTTCATTACGTTGAGCAGTGACAAAAGAATAACATTTCTAATTCCATTTCCATTTTCCTCCTCATATTTTTAAGCGTATCAAATGGATCATTCACATCAAATTTTACTACAAAGATCAACACATCATTATGATGTCAAAAATTATATCCACCCACCTACGTGCACGCAACCTTGTTGGCAAAATCACATGTCAATACAACATGATTTTTTAAGTTCAATCTTGCATGCTTCTATCGCTAAATATGGAAATAAATTTATGATGTAAGTGACAAGTATTATTTAAAAAATAATAATGATATATAATATTGGGTTATAGCGAGGATTTATTTATTATATTCCACAATGGTTAACTCACACGTTGGCCTTTTTAAAAACACACACACCAGACTACCTTCCTAGCTATTTGAAACTTGAAAGTCATGATAGGGAGGCAAAAGATTGTTTACATGTTGCATAGCATGATAAGGGTAGCCATTTTTTTAAACAAAAATTAATTTGATCAATAAAAATTTTACTTATAACTTAAATTCATGAGTTTAAATCTCGCTATTGATAAAAGAACTTGCTTGAATATTGGTACATTTGTAAACATTTCCAACAATTCAACCAAACTTTAATTTTTGTAACAAAAAAAGTTATGCATGTTTCTTGATAGAATTAAGGAAAAACATACATTTTGATTCATGTACTTTGCTCGCGTTTTGTTATAAATTCCTGCATTTTTTTATGTTATTCTAAGTCCTTGCACTTTCATTTTTTGATGTTTCATATTCATTCAAATTCCATACACTTTATTCATTTAGGGATTTAAAACACTGAAAAATAAAAATATAGGAACCCAGAACATTGAAAAAAAAAATGTAGGGACCTATAACAAAACACGAGCAAAATACAAGGATCAAACGGTATATTTTTCCTAAAATTAATTATCACTGTAGGGAGTGTCAAAGTTCACATATATAGATACTAACCTTATATGATAATGGAGATACAATAATATGGTAGGAACAGCTAGGTTTTTTGTTTTTCATTAATTTATTAAAAGCATAATGACATCTGAATTTCTAAATCATGGAATGGATCCAATTGGGGTTAGGTTATTAGTTGCTTTCAAGAATATCAAATACTCGCTATTCAGAAATCAAGAACAAAGGGAACAGATCCTTGTTAGACTTTGAATACCGCGCACCCAACCTAATTTTTATTCTCAATTTGTGTTGCTATCACTCGTATATATAATCTTTGGATTTTTTTAAAAATAACTGCAAATTGACTTTATATGATTTAGCAAATATATAAATATAGGGGGAGGACTATGTGCAACAAAGGTTGTACCCGTTTTATTTATTTTACATCACCAACCAATATATATACATAACAATTCAAGACCTAACCTATACGTATATCTATATGTTGCCTAGGAATTTGTCTACGTCACTTCTACTTAGTTTTGCAACTAGTTTTACAATAGCGCACACACATATTTAATTTCTATATGCTACAATAATGGTTTTAAATTTCACAAGAGCCAATGCTAATAAAATAATTACTCTACTCATATAATATTATTTTTATCTCAAATTATAAAATATTTTTGAATAAAATATCATATATCAATAAAGTTCATTAAATATATTTTATAACTTTATTTTTTTAAATAAAAAATATAAACTTTTAAAAATACTATTCATTTAATATTATATATGTATGTAAAATAATTTTAAAGAGAGAGAATATAATATGAAAAATAATATTAAAAAATATTATTAATAGAATATTTATTTTTTAAAGTGTTTTATATTTTGAAATATTAAATTTTTCTCAAAATTATTTTATAATTTGATACAAAGGGAGTATATGTTTATATATTGTATTGCATACAAAAAAAATAGTTAAATAAAATATAAGCAGACTAGGCCTGTATTTCAAATCAAACAAAAAATAAGAAATCTAGCTTATTTATTTAAAAAAGGTCATTAAATAAAACTTAAACTTGATTTATTTGTTAAACAGGCCAGCATGACTGATAAGTGGGTTCGGAAATTTAATTATGAGATAAACAGTGTTTTTGGGGGGGGGAATAAAAAACACTTCAAAAATGTTTGCTCGAAAAGTCAAGTTTTTTCTTTTTTTAATTGAAAGGAAAAAGCTCAGATCATCGCACAGGATATCCAGCCAGCCAAGTTCAACACAACACTATCCCTACTAAGATCCTGAAAAATACACGAAAGTAGGAGCAGAAATTGATATAGTGAATTATTTACACATATTATGCCAAATCAATATAATTTAAAAAAAGAAAATTAACTTGAGGTTGACTTAAATACTGTTCTCTCACTACAAATATGGATTTATCATCTGTAAACGCCAGTAACATTTGCATTCATTGGATTAGAATGTTGCCAACAATGAAGAACAAGTAAACATCCTTGAATAAAGATTCATGGTCCAGCATGTAATTAACCCGTATTCCTTATACAAGCACTGGCCCCAAATTTTGTATAGGTCAGGCTTTACTTTTAATTTTATTACATGATACCCCTTTTATTATTTCTTTTGCTTCGACTTTCTTTATTGCATTTCTCGTTCCAAGTCCCTTTTTGGTATTTTCTAACCTATTTCATCATCAGAATTGTTTGCATGTCTAGTTTTAGGTTTTCATTTGTGTTGTATGTTCCATTTTCATAAATAAAATTTGAAGATATGCTTCTTTTAACCATGATATTTCTACTTGGTCGGATATCCATTTTAAATTTCTACGCCTCTATGTGAGAAATCTGGGATTAATTTGTTTCAAAATAAACGGGAAAAAACGATGTGGTGCGGAGGTTTTAACTTTTTTAAATATTCCTAAACAAAAAACAACGGTTTTAATTA